GGGTTGGGGGAAGAGAAAGGGCTGGAATAATGGGAGGGTTGGGAAGGAAGAGAAAGGGCTGGAATAATTGGGGGTTGGGGGAAGAGAAAGGGCTGGAATAATGGGAGGGTTGGGAAGGAAGAGAAAGGGCTGGAATAATTGGGGGTTGGGGGAAGAGAAAGGGCTGGAATAATGGGAGGGGTGGGGGGAAAGGGGACTTCAGGTCTAAGCTGAAGGGTAGATTTCGAAACATGCTGTTGAAAATGAATCATACCCATATTGCCCTGGGGCAAGTGGACAGAGGGAGGGGAGGTACACGGGACTCGCAGACTCTCTGGCACTTGGACGCAGTGAATTTGGGGCCGGTGTGTCATGGTAGCTGTGGAAGCCACTGGGAGCTGGTCTCGTGGGCTAGGGTAGGATCTATTCCCGGCATTCCCAGTCTCCACTGCCAGCAGCCTCATGAGATCCCACAGGGCTTCACCATCAGCCAGTCAGAATGTGGCCACTGTGGCCTGGGATCACCATGCTGGCTTGCCCCAAAGGCTCTCCTTGGCTGCCATGGGCAGGGACGGATCAGCTGTTTCCTCAGCTCTCCCCTGGAGCCCTGGGCACTGTTCAGGAGACATGCCCTCCCCGGGGCAGCTAGGCTCAGAGTCTGGGGTGCAGGGAGCCCGTTCCATAGCCGCTCCCTTGTGTCGTGGAGCTACGATACACCAACAGCTTTGGGACCCCACCCCATTGGCTCCTCACTGACCTGCTCGCTCTTCTTCCAGAGATCGTCCCAGAGCAGGTGCCTGACAAGTTCACCTATGGTAAGACTCTCCTCTGCGCCGTCCCACGAGGCCCTGGCTACCCCAGCCTTTGATCTGTAATTCTTTGTCCAGGGGTTTGGGTCCCCCTGTGCTCCAAACACCGTAGAAGAGACAGCCCCTGCTCGGTGTCAGTAGGACGGAGCGGGAGGGCTGTTGGCCCCTGGGTGCTGGCAGGGAACTGAGGCAGATTCAGTGACTCGCCCCTGGTCACACAGGGAGTCTGGGATGGGCCAAGGATTGAGCCCAGATCTCGCCATGGCCCTTAGCCCCCAGGCCACCCTTCTGCCCTGTGGTTATCCCCTGGATCTGTAGGCAGCGCCAGCCCCGGTAAGCATCCCGTAGCCAGGGGCACAGCTCTGTGAGCCTGTGGGTAGCTGCGTGGGATGCCTTTGGTGGCACACATACATGTCACACACGTGTCACAGAGGGGCCGGGGGGCCTGACACCCAGTTGCGTGGCACTGGGAGTAGAAGCAAAGCCCTTCAAGGCGCTGTTCTAAGGCAGCAGCCCAAGCCCAGCTGCCGTTGTTGCTGGAGCTGCGGTGAAGGCCTGGGCCGCCCCAGCGGTAGATGATCACGCTTGCTCACCCAAGAGCTTCAGAGCTTGGTGAGATGTGACTCTCCCCTCCCCCAGCCCAGCTCCCTTTGCTCCGCCAGGCTAACAGGCGTCTTTCTCCTTCCGAGATTACGAGACCATTCGGAATGGGGGGCTGATCTTCGCCGTGGTGGCTTTCGTGTTCGGACTCCTCATCATTCTCAGTAAGTGTCACTAGTGGGGGGCTGCAGACCGGTCTCCCGCCAGCCCAAAGGCTGGGGTCGCGTGGGGGCTCTTCTCTGCTCCCCCCCACTGTGCTGCAGGGGGCTGCCCAGCTCAGGGGAAGGGAGGGGAGGGTGCATCTGTGCTTTGTGTGCGTCACAGCCTGGGGGCCGGAAGGGCCTGCTAACATGCATGGCAGAGGGGCCTAGGCTTAGCCCTGAAGAACCCCAGCAACAGCAGTTCCATGATCTGTCAGCTACACTTAGAGCTTCAGCTTTCCCTGAAATGTTTAACCTGGCCTCCCCGGCCCTCGCTCCGCCCTGGGCTTGGATATCAGTGAGAACAATGGTCTCTATCTCCCATATCTCCTCTCTGCTTTGTTCTCGCTGCACGAGGCCCCACTGAGCCCGGGGCCAGAGGCTGGGTACCTGGCTCAGAACTTAGATGCAGATTTGGGTGCGTGTTAATCTTTAGTAGAAGCTGGTAGGAAAATTTCCATCAAGGCAAGATTCCAACAGAAAATGGGGGTGGGGTGGGGAGGAGATTGTGCAAATATTTGCAGAAGCAATTTTGCATTTTCCTGCCAGCTTTAAGGCTCAGGGTGAAAAGGTCACCAATTAAAAATGAGAGCAACAAAATCTGACATTTCTAGAGGCAGAAACCAGGTTTTCCAAAGTGCTCCACTCCTGCAGACTCCCTGGTGACCCAACATGCTGGGCTGTTTTGCAAACCTAGACACTTTGCCCACTGCTGACATGCAGCCAGCTCTGGGATGAAACACAATAGACATTTAACAGTGCACAACACTATAGGGAAGAAAGGGAAGGAGAAAATTGTATGCACTTGAAACTGCAGTAGCAGTTTAGAGAGAAATGCAGAATGGAACTACGTGGGGTGGAGTTCGGCCAGAAGGACTGGGTCAGCATCCTGGCCTCTGTGCAAAGTGCCATGGACTCTTTAATAACCTACGCCGTGCGTCTCACCCCTAACCCCAAACGCTGCACACTCTGCAGATGGGAATAACAGCGTATTCCATGTGGGTTCCAGACACACGGCTGCTTTTTATCGGTGTGCTCAGGGCAGCTCCCAGCAGGCAGGCAGCCCTGGCTCTCTCAGCTGGTGTCCATGCCTGGCTGGGCCTTGTGGGGACCTTTGGCTGAACAGGGCGTTTGTTCAGAGAGCTCAAGGAGGCTGAAATGTCCCATTAGCACCCACAGGACAGTGAGGGAGAGCCCAGAGCACGTTCCCAGAGTGCACCTCCCTCCCGGCTGGGCAGGGGCAGGCGGCACGGGAGTCAAACAAGGAGGAAAATAACTACGTCACTAAACCAAGACCTGGTGGCTCGAAAACAAAGCTAGGGGTCAGTCCAGAGACGGGCACGGTTCTGACCCTACCCACCCACCCACCCCCAGTGCCCGAGGGCTGGCCGGCCCCACAGCTTCGGGGACCCCAAGCCAGACTCCGGTGTGCCTGTTGAACCAGGGCTGTGCCTAGAGTTCCCACCACTGTGGGTGGGGTGGCCTTGGTCCCTATGCGATGGCTGCAGAGGCCATGCCGAGTTGAGGAGGCAGAGGCTGCAGGGGAGGGGCTCTTTGCCCCACAGAGACAGCAGGATTATTGCATCAAAGAGAGAGGAGCAGCAGAAGGTGGGTGGAAGCCTGAGAGCAGTGAGGCGTGTCGGCCAGGGAGCACCGGGGTGGGGAGGACCAGCACAGCCAAGGCGAAGGAGGCCTCAGACGCTTTCCCTTGTTTCCAGGTCGGCGGTTCCGCTGCGGAGCAAAGAAGAGAAGAAGGTTGGTGTTCTTTTAAATTGTCCAAGTCAGTCAGCCCATGTCTTCTCTTTAGTGGGAGTCTGTAGATGGTTCGAGGGCCGGAGACATTCACTTTCCCCTTGGCTGCTTTGGCTCGTGCTAATGCTACTTTCTCTCTCTTTTCCGTCTGTTTCCTTAGACAAGGTGACGATGACGAGCTGTAGCTGCAGGTACGTGGAACAGAGGGAGAGCAGCGGGGCGTGGAGAGCAGGGCTGTATGGTGTATCAGGCTGGCAGTGATGCCTGATGCACTGCAACGTTGGCAGGTGTCCATCCTGCTAGGAAAGGGTTAAGTGGGCTCTGCTGACTCCCTGGGGCAGGAGGCTCAGTACCCCACTGGGACATACGGGAAATGGGAGGGATTCTCTGGGAGGCAGAGGATCTAGGGTGTGGACTGAGCAGCCTAGGGAGAGGAGTCCTAGGAGCTTCCCAGCCTGCGGTGAATGTCTAAGTCTGAGCTTTATGCACGTATCTATTTTGTAGGTAACAAAGCCAAACCCCAGGGAAGGGCTGGGGCTGGACTCTCCATGCTGCGTGGGCTGTATCTGTAGAGCGGTTGCTCACCGTGCTGCTGTTTAAGTCCAAGGCCAGGACGTGGGGTGGGGGTGGAGGGGAAAGGATCCAGGTGGCACAAACCTTTTTGGGTCTGATCCAATGGGAGGAAACAGTATTGACATCCACACAGTGCAGCGGCAATCTGGGACGAAAACTTCTCAGCCAATCAGATGGCTCAACGGGCAGAGAATGGGATTGCCCGGTAGGTGTGGCCTATCTGTGTGTGTTTGTGCAAGAGGAGTGCCGCATGCACCAGCAGGGGGCGCAGCACTGAGCTGGGAACTAGTCTGCAGATATCTACTGCCCGGCTAATTTAACTCTTTCTTTCCAATTCCAGAGCTGCCTGGACTGTCTGGAAAGAGGCTTCCTGCCCAGTGCCCTGTCTGGGGGGGGGGAGTTCTCTCCAGGAGCCAAGCCCCTTGCATCGGAGACATTAACCCTCTCAGCCCTGCACCTCTATACACACCGTTTTCATGGCTTTCCTTTGTAAAATCAGTTCTGTGCTTTGCCTCAATAAAGCTTCTTCTGAGAGAGGGTTAAAGCTTGTCCCCAGGTGGGTTTGACTCAGCCGGTTTCTCTGCCCTGTACCAGTTTCTTTTTCTGTCCAGAACCATCAGACAATTCTGAACACAAACCCAGCAGGTAAAATCCCTCCCCCGCCATCCCCATAAGCATTGAGCTTTAACCTTTTAAGTGAATGGCCTAAATGCCAGAGGGGGAGGTATTCTGAGCTGGGCGCTCCCTCAGTCTCTCCTGTTGAAGCTGGTCCACCTTCATTAGATGATAATTGGGGCAGCCCCAATCATCCAGTGGTTTGGGCCCCCTCCCCCCCGATCAGTGAGGTTGCTGGTTGAGATGGGACTTGAACATTGCTCTCTAACCTCTCAAGCGAAGGGTGTAAGTGCTGGACTGGGAGCTATTCTGACGCAGGGCTCCCTCAGTCTTTTCTATTGACGCTGATCCACTTTAACTACACCTCTACCCCGATATAACAGTAATTCGGATATACCACGGTAAAGCAGCGCTCCGAGGGGCGGTGGGGGGCAGGGCTGCGCATTCTGGCGGATCAAAGCAAGTTTGATATAATGCAGTTTCACCTATAATGCAGTAAGATTTTTTTGGCTCCTGAGGACAGCGTTATATCGAGGTAGAGGTGTACATAATAACTGGGCTAAAGCTTGCCTCCATGGGCACTTCTCTGGGATGTGAGTGACCCTGGTTCAAATCTCCCCTCTGCCTCAGTGGAGGGGGTCTGGTGCCTGAGGTGCAGGCCCTTGTAAATCGACTGTGGACTATACAGAGTAGCTCTTGCTGGTTTAATTAATGAGTAATGGTGGCCATACAAAAGACCCAAATCACTCTTTTGTCCCCAGAGGCTAGCCACCCAGGCTGTGGCAGACCCCAGGTCACTCCCCTTCTCTGCTGAGGGGTGTGAACTGGGATCTCCCACCTCTCAGGGAGAGTCAGAGATGGACAAGCCCTGTTTAAATCCCCTCCCTGTCCAAAGGTGACAATGGCCTCCTGAGAAAGGGAGGGGGTTCAGACATGGATGTCACACCCCAAAGGGCAATCACCGAGGAGGCAGAAAATCCCTGTGCAAACCCCCGGGATTTGAGCCAGCCTCTCCTACAGCCCAAGCTAGTACCCTAACCCCAGATTATAGAGTGACTCGGGCTTTTGGCCTGGCCTGAAGAACAGTTAAATCAAGTGGAACAACTTCAAAAGGCAAGAGTGAGGGAGCCCCTCAGCACTATCCCCCAAAACGCACACCCCGGCTGCAGGAGAGCTCTCTTCAAATTGCTTCTCAGCAGGCCAAGCAGGGGATTTGAACCCACACCTAGCCTAGCCCCCAGCCTGTAGAGGGAGTCCTGGCCCTGGCCCAGCCCAAAGACTAGTTAATTCAATTGGAACAGCTTCAAGAGGCAGGGAGCCCCTGAGCACAGCACCCAGGCACACCCCAGGAGCTCTCCCTTCAAACTGCTTCACAGCAGCCCAAGGGGGAGATTTGAACCCACAGCTCCCACGCGCCGGGTATCAGCCTAACCACCAGCCTGCTGCCAGTCTTGTTTTCATGTTGGCTCAAAGAATAGTTAAGCCAAGTAGAACAGCTTCACCAGGCAAGCAGGAGGGATTCCCCCTGCCCCCAATTTCTGTGGCCCACCACCTGGGCAGCAGGAGATCCCTCCTCACATCCCTTCTCTTCATCAGGCAGAGGGGGATATTCAAGGCTGGCCTTAAGGACAATCGTGCCCCTGGCCCCCGCTGCCTCCCCATCCATCACCCTGGCCGCCACATCCATCCCCCCCACTGCCCTTGTTCGCTGCTGCCTCCCCGGTCTCCCCACACATCCCCCCATTGCCCCTGGATCTTGCTGCCTCCCTGGGCTCCCCACCCCCAGGACTGCTACCTCCCCTGCCCCATTGCACCACACCCCCTTCTGCGACCTTGCGCCCCACTGCTGCCCCACTCCTTGCCTCCTGCCTCTGGCAGCTGGAGAGCAGCAGCTGCTGGCCGGGAGCCCACAGATGCCAGGGCTATGTACCACCAAGCCTAGAGGTGCCAATGCTCAGCCCTGGCAATCCCTGGCACAAATTAAGTGCTGATGTTTCCCCCCTGGGTGGTCACCCACCCGTAAGACTGGTCCTATTTTTATTTCTGTGAGGGAATCACAGGCTTCCTAGAGGGAATGAATGGTGCCACTGCCCTGTGCATAAACCCACCCTGGATTTTTGCATCCACCCCTCCATTTTGAAGCCAACTGACCTGCTCTTCTGATGCACATGGGAAATGTCCCATTTTTTAAAAAAGGGGTGAATAATCTAAAACCCCGTTTTGGTCCCTCTCTCTCTCTGGGCTCCCCTGAGTCTCACGCTGATGGTGCATTCTCTGCTGCGCCCTCAGCATTCTGGTGGGGTGTCTTGGAACACAATGCCTCCGCCTGGTCATGGGGAGGGAAACCAGACCAGGCAAGGACAGGATCTGCACAGCCAGGCAGGAGTGGGGGGAAGGATGCCTGTCCTGGCCCCTGGAGCAAAGAGGCATAGTTGCCCCTGGAGACTGACAGGGAGAGACGGCCAGAGGCCCCCTGGTGGGCGGAACCAGGAAGGCCACACCCATGGCGCCAGAAGCAGAGGGGCGGGGCAGGGACAGGAAGTATAAAAGGCGGGCCCTGCGGCTCAGTTGGGCTGCAGCTGCCAAGGGAGATGGATGTGTTCTTCCCACTGCTTGTGCAGGAGCCTGCAGAAGATGTCTACTGCCCTGAGGCTTCTCTGGAGCTGCTAGACCTTGCTGATGCCAAGGAGCAGCCGGGATTGCCCCAGGCCGTGTATCCTGGGGAGGGGGAAGATGTCCATGGGACTCAGGTACACCTTGAGGGGAGGGGAGGAGAGGAGAGGAAGTAGCTCTGGGACAGCTGATGGTAGTCAGGCTGTGTTGCTGCCTGAAGACTGGTCAGTGTGTTGTGGGTAGATCCCTGTTGACCCAGTAGTGGGACACTTTGCCATTGCCTGGGCCCTAGGGTGGGACCTGGGGAGTGGGGTGGGCCTGGTCCCCTTGCCACCTCACCCCTGGGGTGGTAGCCCCCCCCTGTGTTGGTCTCCTGTCTGCTGAGCTAGGGGCTGCAGACTGTTTGGTGCCCTGCCTGACCTGAGGGTTTGAGTCCTAGAGACAGCTCAATCCCCCCTTGTTTTAAGTGTGACAGTGAAGAGGTGTGGCTGCCCTAGGAGATTGACAGGGGGGGCTGGCCATGCATGCCCACATGCTTACACCCCTGTGATATTCTGGGGATGAGCACCTTGTTCTCCTCCTTGGAATGTGTGGCTCAGTGGGCTACTCCTATGGGAGAAGAGGAAAGTCCCATGAGGCTGCTGGAGCTGGGCCCCTACGACAGGGTGAGCTGGGGTATATTTAGCAAGGGATATGCAGCCTTCAGGGAGAGCACCCTTCCCGGCTGGAGAGTCATTGATCCTATTGGAGAGAGTCAGGAGAGGAATTCCCATAGCCTGTGGAATCTGATAATAGTAATAATATATGGAGATATCCTATCTCCTAGAACTGGAAGGGACCCCGAAAGGTCATTGAGTCCAGACCCCTGTCTTCACTAGCAGGACCAAGTACTGATTTTGCCCCAGATCCCCAAGTGGCCCCCTCAAGGACTGAACTCGCAACCCTGGGTTTAGCAGGCCAATGCTCAAACCACTGAGCTAGCCTTCCCCATGGCACATACATTGTGTGGGCTTGGGTGGACCAACAGGGACATCTACCGGCCATCTGGTGTAATCCTAGCTTTGGGTTACCTGGGAATCCCTGCACTTCCACTTCTCTGGAAACACAGTCCTCTAGATGCTGAGCGGCTGCCCTCAAGTGGTGCTGGGGTGGTCGCTCTGTGCCCTTGACCACCGAGTGCAGGATGTGAACAGTGCACTGTTCCCTAAGCCTTGTGCTGAGATTAATGAGCTCATTAGTTTCCATTCTGTTGAGAGGCATTAAAACTAGGGCTGTCAAGAGATTAAACAGATTATTTTTTTTATTGTCTAATTTATTTACATATTTTTGGATGTTTTCTATGTTTTCAAATGTAGTTATTTCAAGTACAACACAATACAAAGCATACAGTACTCACTTTATATTTTTATTACAAATATTTGCGCTGTAAAAAACGAGAGTATTTTTCAATTCACCTACTACAAGTACTGTGAGCAATTTCTTTATCATGCAAGTTGAACTTACAAATGTAGGCTCTAAAGCTTTACATTGTTTTATTTTTGAATGCAGAATTTTTTTGTACATAATTCTAAAAGTCCAATCAATCCTCCTTGTTCAGTCAATCACTCAGACAAACAAGTTTGTTTACATTTGTGGAAGATCACGCTACTTGTTTACAATGTCATCTGAAAGTGAGAACAGGCGTTTGCATGGCACTCTTGTAGCTGGTGTCACAAGATATTTACGTGCCAGATGTGCTAAAGATTCACATGCCCCTTCATGCTTCAACCACCATTCCAAGGGACTTGCGTCCATGCTGATAACAGGTTCTGCTCAATAACAATCCAAAGTAGTGCGGACCGATGCATAGTCATTTTTCATCCTTTGCGTCAGATGCCACCAGCAGGTTCTGTAGTTTCCACATTGGAGCGTTGCTCTTTTCAGACTTCTGAAAGCATACTCCACACCTCGGGTCCCTCTCAGATTTTTGGAAGGCACTTCAGATTCTTAAATCTTGGGTCGAGTGCTGTAGCTATCTT